TACATTTTTTATTATAAAATATTTGTATTTTATTGTATTTTATTATCGTTATTTATATTTTTTTAATAAATAAATAATTTTAAATTAAAATAATTTTAAATTAAATATTAATAAATTATTAAATTATAAATTTGATATTATGAATAATGAAAATGTCTAAAAACGTTCAAAAAATTGGAATACGTTCAGAAAAACATAATTATGTCTGGAAAATGTTCGGAAAACAGGTTTATGTCCAGAAATTATCCAAAAAATGTTTGGAAAATGTCCAATATTGCATTCTAACATTAAAATTCTGGACAATGACATTTTCTAGACAAAATGAATGTCCAGAAACCACCAAGATTTGGAACATATTCCAGATAATGGAAATGTTTGAAATTTGTACATTATTATTTCAGTACATTATTCTGTTAAATTCTGGACATTCTTTTTTTATGGGGTTACGTAATAGGTCATATACTATATTTAAAAGTTTTAATAGTATTTTAAATATTTATTAATTTAGACATCCATAACTACTAACCTTGCAAAATTACAAATTGTAAGAATATTTTTCAAAAAAGCTGTTAATGCGTCTTTTGCACTTTTCTTTAATTTAATATCACTTAACTTTTCTATCAATACTACAGTAATGAACATAAATATTATATTATATTTTGATGAAAAAGTTGTGATATAAGATAAACACATTTTATGTGGTATTACTAATGCTGTCGCTGGTTTTCTAAATGATAGAACATTTTAACAAAGTATTTTTATTATATTAAATGCTTTTGATAAAATTTAAAATTGAAAACTTAGATTAACACAAGTGGAATACCATCATATAATATAATTATATTATATGGTGGTATCCCACTTACCCTAGATTATATTACCACCATATGATCTGAATACCACTATATAATCTGGGTACCACTATATAATCTAATTACCACCATATAATCTGAGTACCACCATATGATCTGAATACCACCATATAATCTAAATGATATAATCTAATT